AAAATTCTTAACTTTTCTACACCTCATATGTTTTGTTTTCTTACGTCCAATTTTGTTTTAATATTGTAAAATCCTTCTATTGACCTTTTTCGTTCTCAAAACGCGGCAGTCTGCGATTTCGGCACGACCAAAAGAAGAAATATGAATGTTCGAATGAATCGCTGCAGAAAAATCGTACAAGTGTGTGGTTCCTCATTTAAAACTATGGTCGGCATTGTTGTAATTTTTGTCGGAACAGATTCGCACCGACAGAGTCGCGTAGGTGTGTGGATACCTTTATACATTATATGACCAACCGTACTTGTTTCGGATGTATCGTACTTCTTGTTTAGTGGTTGTAATTCGTACTTCGAAGTACATTCAATTGTACGTTTTTGCGATATTTTGTACTTCGGGTCCTGTACTTATCCGATCTTCTGGACGATCACCACATAGCCAGGGCGATAAATTCGTTCAAACCATTAAAGTCGCCGAGGGGCGATGACATCATACCTGCGTAGCTGCAAAGGGCTCTGAAGAAGTCGTGCAATTGGTTGGATTCTATTTATGCGAACTGCGTGAGGACCGAGTACATCCACAAGGCTTATAGGGTAGTCAGTGTTGCGTTCATCCTGAACGCCCAAAAAAGTTCTAATGTTTCCCCTAGGGATTTTAGGCCCATCAGACTGTCTTCGTTTTTGCTAAAAACGCTAGAGAGGCTTATAGACCTGGACATAAGAAATGCGATTCCTCGTGACTGTCTTTAAACAGCTCAACATGCTTATCGCAAGGAAAGGTCGGCAGTAGATACCTGCGCACATTGGTAAAGTGGTCAGAGGAAGTATTCATCACGCATAAATATTATGCAGTAGGCGCCTTATTCGATATCAAGGGGGCCTTCAACAATGTCACTCCAGAGGCAATAGTGAAGTATATTCATGATCTAGGGGTTGAAACCTATAAAGCTTATCTACAGCTTGCTTAGTGACAGAACTGTCGTTGCGGAGTGGGGGAGCGCCTGCACTCAGTGCAGAGTCAAGAGGGGAACTCCGCAAGGTGGTGTTCTCTCTCCTCTGCTCTGGATTGCGGTTGTAAACGACCTTCTAGAGGACCTGAAAAAAGTGTGCTGGCGGGCGATCGCCTATATAGATGATGTGGAACTTTCGGTTATCGGACGATTTCTCTACACCCCTTTTGATCTGGCTCAAGGTTACCTGAACGACGGGGGCGATCAAAATCGGCCTCGCAGTAAATCCCAGTAAGACGCAACTGGTCTTATTTACCAGGAAGTGCAGGAAGCAAGTTGTGGACCTTCCCTCGAGTGGAATTATTTGTCTGGGGCTCTCATACAGGGTCAAGTACTTACGCTTGATCCTGAATAGTAACCTGTCGTGGAAGCTTAACATTGAGAAACAGAATAAGAAAGGCTTTAGTTGCCCTGTACTGCTGTTGGAGATCTATCGGTAGAAGATGAGGTGTTGGGTGAGGGTTGGTGGAGGTGTCTTTTGTCGGAAACCATTAAAACTATGTTCAGGCTTCCGGACTTCTGCAGTGTCTTTCAGGTGGAAATAACTGCCATCAAGGAAGCGGTACACTCACTGCTAAGGGTGCGATAGTGCGCTCAAAATCAGTAAAGGAATGTTTGACCTCTCTCGTCAGAGTACTTTTTAGGTACTTCTTATGGTTTAGGTGCCGGAGCAGAGTGACATCGTGGGAAACTATGGCTGATGACCTGGCATTAGAAAGGCACCCTTAAAATGTTATCCCAAGGTAATGAGCAACTAGGGACGCCTCTGTCCTAGACTAACACGCATAATTCGTACTCGCGATAATGAAATTGCATACTCTACTAAATACCTCACAAAATGGGCAAAAGAAAGCGATGCTCCTTTTTGTGGCATAAAAAAGGAAAATAAGGCGTTTCTCTGCTGCAGAAAATGTTTTTATATTTACCCCTTAAAGGTGCCGAATACCTCGTTACCTCTCAATGGCTAGTGATGGGGGTTCGGACCGGCCATTTCGCTATTGGTATTCACGCGGTAATACTAGGACTAGAACTGATCTCTTTTGTATCAGCTGTCAAGATGAAGATGAAGTGGAATCATCTCCACACTTTCTTTTAGACTGTCCAACCTTCGCGAGGCTAAGATGAAAGCATTTTGGCTAGCATTTCTGAACTAACACTGAGATCTCAGGGATCGCAATCATCCGTATTCGAAATTTGGTAATTGGCTGGCGGCGTTAACCTAATCTAACCTAACCTGTTGGTCACATTAATTATACATCAAGTGCCAGCGACACAAGTCGGTGTAGAAATCGTGTTCTCAGCACTAAGCTTATTCTTACGGATTTGCGATACCATTTGTCGGAGCAGAACTTGGCAGCTATATTAATTGTTAAATTGAATTCCGAATCATTCCTGTAAAAATGTGAATAACTTAAAGCTTAAATCAAAGAAACTCAATATATTTACATACAGAAGATAGAAAATTGCAATTGACACATTATATTGTGAACATGCTATTTTCACCGAAAAAATAAAAGTCAGATTTAACGCTCATAAATTGACCGCAATAATTAAAAGTCAAATTTTAACTTTTATATTAGACCGAAAAAAGTAAATTTTTAACTTTAATGTTTTTATTGAGCTTTGTACCACGGAAAAAGCAACAAAGTCTAAGCGGTAGAAGTTATAGCAGCCAAGTTTAAATAGCGGTAAATCAGTTGCATTTGATTGCAGTAGGTTGAATAAGGAAAATGAATCAGCAACACTTGTTTACGGGGTGTGCATAGCTCAGTGGTTAACGCTTCTGACTTTGCACATCGATGACGCGGGTTCGATCCCTGCTGAGGTCTAGAAAAAAGAAGTCTGACGAGGAGATGTGGTGATCTCCGAAATAGCTGCTATACCTTCTACCGCTTAGACTTTGTTGCTTTTTCCATTTTTCCCAATAAAATAATCGTGGTACAAAGCTCAATAAAAATATTAAAATTAAATGTTAATAAGCCACAATAACATTGACAAGTCAATTTTTAACTTTTATTTTTGACTTTTACTTTTGACTGGAAAAATATCTGTCAAAAAATAATGATTAATTGCCGACTTTTTTGAAAAAAGTAAAAAAAAAATTAAATCATATAAGATTAACATTCCTTGGCTAACAAGCATCACATTGCTATGTATAAATGTTAAAAAGACCAATTCTTCCCGACTGACTTTTTTGAATTGAAATTTGAAAATAACTATTATTTTCGGACCCCGATGTTAATTTTTCCATAGTTAGGACAGAAATATAAATAGCAACGCTTGTACCATTGATGGCACATTAGGATCTCAGGTCAGTTACCTTAATACAACAAGTTCTATGTTCGCAAGTTCCAACAAGTGAGAAAGCTCTGGTTAATCTTTCAACATGGCGTACGAGCACTCGGAAATTCTTAAAAACTTCGACTTCTTACCTTAAGAAATGGATCGGAGCGTTTAGAGGCTGGCTACGAACGGATCATTCTCTACACACATCCCTCCATGGGGTGAATGGGAGAAGGGCAGCCCCGGAGTGAGGTCCAATTAATATCTTCACGGATGGGTAGGGGCTGGATGGCAAACTTTGAGGAGGTGTATAGGAAATCTCATGTTCAGCCTGCCGGATTTTTGCAGAGTCTTTCACGTAGAGGTGGCCGATATAAATGAGGTAGCAGATTGGCGAAGTACCAGTGTTTTACCGATTAGAAGGGTTAATATCTACTATGATGGCCAAGCGCCAATCGAAATGCTAAGATCGCTCATGGTACGATGGAAAGTGGTTGAAGGAATGCCTGACCTCTTTCTAAATCGTCTCGGAGTATTTCCAAATCAAGTTGATCTGGGTGACATTGCTGGAAGCTGCAGGACTGGTTAATAGGCTAGGCAGGGTATCCTCGAGGTCATCTCCCCGGACTGGGAGGTCATAGGAGTTCCTTTGGCTAATTGTGGACTATTCCTGGACAGATGTTTTTTTTGTTTGTCGGAACTAAATATCCAAAACAACGCATGCAGAGAACAGAACTCACGCTGCATGCCACCCATTGTACTGGTTTCGCGTTCCTTTTATTTTGTTTCCAATCTACTTGATTTACGAATAAATCGAATCAGATTGTTGGGTGTAAAAGGGTCCAGTTTAATTAATTAATCCCAACGGCTTTTTACCCTCCATTCCCGCCCAACCGACACGAGGGGCGCAGTCCGCATGACGTACGGAACCTTTTTTTTTCGTTTTTTCGTGCCGAGTAGTGCAGTGCAGGGCAGAGGCACAAAAAGTTTTCCGCCGTCTCATCCTCTTCAAGGAAGGTAGTCGTGGCACCTAAAGTTTTCAGTCAACAGTCCTACAAGTTTCTGAAGTCCAATCTCTTCAACATAAGCTTCTCCCACCTGCATCCTCTCAAAGCCTCGCAGCCATTGCAAAGCGAAATATTCATCTATTCATATTCTGACTGTGGCTTCGATGGCCAAAGGTGTGCGTGCTGAAACTGGTTGCGGACCGAGGAGTACCTGGTCTGAGCTCACTCTGGCCAAATGGTCAGATATCTCATTTTCAAAATAAAACAGCCTGGAAGTAGTTAGGAGAGCTGGTCGATGCCTTGAGTGCAAACATTTCATTTGGACATTTTTTTTACTTAAGAGTTATGAACTGAAAACGTTTCGGTTTTCAACCGAACTCAGAAAAGGTGAAGGTTATATGTAAATGCTTTTTTATGTATGATACCGGATAACTTTGGGCCACATAAATTGTTTTTATCGGAATAGTGGCACACGTACTACAAGGGCAAACCCGTACGAGTGTCGTTAAGTTCCGATCATTGGGGCATGAATGAACTTATGGTGCTCCTGATTTTTTATATGAGCATTGCAGTCGGTTGTGTTTTTGTTTAAATATTACTTGTTTATTTAAAGCTAGTTTAATATTCATTGTTTCCTTGCATACATAAGTCAAATTTCATGATACATAAAAAATTGCTAACGCAAGCTTTTTTAACTATTTCAGTTCATGCTCTTCAAAAACTTCTACAAACCCTATTTAGTAGTTACATACTTTTCTAAGAAGAGTACGAATGTAAGTACCTGCTTCTTATTTTCTGATTGCCACCTACTAATAAGTTTACTGTCACGGTTTTAACCCACTAATTTTTTTCCAGTGTTTAAAGCGAAATAACTAAACAGATCAGATCAAAATGCTTAGCTTAAGAAGAAGTTTATTGTCCCATAAGAAAATCCGTTTGATCTGTACAGAGTTACCAACCAATAGCATCAAATTTGGAAATGCAAGAAATTCAGGAATCCTTCGAAATTTTAGTAATTTACGGTTGACACAAAATTTTGCCCATAGTACAAAAAAAATTAATTTAAGGTATAAATCAATGCCTCCCACTTGCTTATGCAAACTTAAGCAAATATGTATGTAATTAATTTAGATATTTGATTTTTTTCAAATTTCAGTTTCACCAGTTTAGTTATACGTACCATGTCTTCTGCCAACACTGCCCATTTTGTTTTGCCCAACTCCCAACCAATTGCTGACTTGGAATGCAAAAGTGCTTTCTCGAGTCTAACTGAAAAAGAAAAACTCTACGCCCACTACTTTAGTAAAGCTTCATGGGATGGTGGCCTTATCGCTCTGATACAATCCAGTCCGGAAGCGCCATTGATATTCTCACTACTACATCGAATTTTCGTTGCTGAGCCATTGCAGGAGTTGAAAACAAAAGCTTTGGCTAAAGATATTAGCGAGGATGAGTTTACGGTAAGCTTTGAGTACTTCAGTATATATAGCCGGGTTTGATAAATACAGTAGTTGAAAACTTGATTCGACTAGTACTGTTTATATATTTTCTTAATCATTTATCACTTACATAAGTACTACATATTTACTTTTGCTTCCAGGCTTTCTTAGTTTACGCTTGTGGAATTTTCGCCAATGCCGGTAACTATAAAGGTATGGGTGACAGCAAAATCATTCCGAATTTGGATGAGAAAAAGTTCGAAGTGATTGTTAAATTGTCATCAGCTTATTCGAATGATAAACATGTACCAGCTGCGTACGAGAAAGCCGCTCCACTTATCTATTCATTAAAGCCGCGTAATGAGGTCTTAGGATTCGCTCCAAATGGCATAACCACTTACTGGTCAGATAATTGTACAAAGGAAGATGCTGATATTGTCAATGAGTGGTTAACATCTAAGCGTATTGAGCCTTACATGTGTCGTACATTTAAGTTGCAGGAAAATGGTCAAACGATCTATGACATTAAGCTGGGCTCAGTAGAATCTTCGAATAAGGATGGTATTACCTTGCCCTTGGAAAGCTATAATGGTAATAGTTTTCGTGTGACACGCGGTGACTATCAAAAGTTGCTGCAGCGTGTAAATAAAAATTTAGAAAAAGCTAAAAAGTATGCGGCTAATGAAAATGAGCAAAAAATGATTGAGCATTATATAAAATCTTTCCAAGAGGGTTCACTAGCTGATCATAAGGATGGTTCAAGGTGGGCCAGCGAACTGAGTTAAACTGTGTTATTTATTTTAAATAAAAAATCATGTACGAAATTTTCTATTGTAGGTGGTGGATTAAGGATAAAGGCCCAGTCATCGAAACTTACATTGGCTTCATCGAAACATATCGTGATCCAGCAGGCGGACGCGCAGAATTCGAGGGCTTTGTTGCTATGGTCAATAAGGAAAGTTCTGCTAAATTTGCCGAATTGGTGGCACGGGCCGAAAAGTTGCTGGAATATTTGCCTTGGACGGAGGCCTATGAAAAAGACACTTATTTGAAGCCTGATTTTACATCCCTTGATGTGTTGACTTTTGCTGGCAGTGGAGTACCGGCTGGAATCAACATTCCAAATTGTAAGTAGCCTGCGTGCTATCTTATACCATGTGCATAAAAATAGATTTAAAGTGTTTTATAAATTAAAAAAGTATATGAAAATATCACTTATTTATATGTAAATATTTTTAAAATCAATTTAATTTTATGTTTTTCATTATTATTTTTTCCTCTAAATGCGCTTGGAATGAAAAATGTTAACTTGAAAGATTTACATCAAAGTTTTCTTTCATTGTACTAAAAAGGCTTTTGCAAGTTTTAAATGCAAGATTTTTTTGAATTTGAATGACTTAACTACATAGATAGGGGCCAATCAAGTATTACGTAAACAGAGTATCAGTCATTTTTAACAACTCCTTCCTAATTGTAAGCAAAGTTCTTACCCCCTCTTCCTCCTATGCTTTCATAACAAAGCCCGACAAAAAAAGTGTCGTATACTTTCTACTGCAATATCCTATCCCCATGTGTGTTGGTGCCCTGAATACGAATCGGAAGTTCGTTTTGCTCCATCACTTCAAGATTTTTTCTTAACCCGAAAAAACATAGCAAATATTATGCGACAGCCACGTTTTTTGGGTTGGCATAATATAAGTCCGGAGTACAGTTGCGTGTTCAGGGCACCAAAACGCATGAGGGTAGGCAGTGGCGGATACACGGGGGGTGTGGGGTTTTTCGCTTTATTTATAAAACATTTTGATAATTTTAAACACATTAAATTTTTATTTTTACTTATAAATCAATGAAACGAAGAATTTTAAAATAAAAAAATTGTTAATTTTTTCTTGGTAGAAAAAGGTAATGCATTCTCAATTTCCTACTGGGATATTTTCGTATTTATATACATATGTATGCAAATAATAATTGTGTTTCTTTTCAATTTCAAGATGACGAGATCCGTCAGGATGAGGGGTTTAAAAATGTTTCACTCGGCAACGTCTTAGCAAACATAAACCGCAAAGATCCCATTCCATTCCTCACCGATGAGGATCAAGAGCTGATGAAGGAATACAAAGTGAAATCTTTCGAGGTAAATATGTGGATCCTTTTCATATTAATAAAAAATATATTATGTACATGTGTATTTAAATAGGTGCAAGTGGGTCTGCACGAGCTGCTCGGTCATGGAAGTGGCAAACTCTTCCGCATAGATGAAAATGGCAAATTCAATTTTGATAAAGAAAACACGAAAAATCTTGTAACTGGCAAACCAATTGAATCTTGGTATTTACCAGGTGAAACTTACGACACGAAATTCGGTGCTATTGGCTCTTCCTATGAGGAATGCCGTGCTGAAGCGGTCGGCTTGTTCCTTTCGTTAAGACCAGATATTTTAGAGATTTTCGGTTTTAAAGATCCTGTTGAGCAAGAAAAAATAGTCTATATCAATTGGTTGAGTTTGATTTGGAACGGTATGGGCGTTGCCTTGGAAATGTACAATCCTCAGTCCAAACAATGGATGCAAGCGCATTCTCGTGCTCGCTTTGTCATCATGAGGGTGCTTTTAGAAGCGGGTGAAGGATTTGTCACCGTCGAGGAAACTGAGGAAGGCAAAAATTTGCGCTTAACAGTGGATCGCACAAAAATACAGACTGTGGGCAAGAAGGCCATTGAAGAATTCCTAAAAAAGCTACAAGTTTACAAATCAACTGCTGATATAGCAGCGGCAACTGAAATGTACGAACACTACTCAGAGGTGAGTGAAGGCGGTTCACACCCATGGGCTAAATGGCGCGACATTTGTCTGGCACATAAAAAGCCACGCATAATTTTGGTACAGGCCAACACCGATGTGAAGAGTGAAAAGGTGAATTTGAATACATATGAAGCCACACACGAAGGTTACATTAAGTCGTGGGTGGATCGTTATCCCGACACCGAAATCGATGATATTCTGGAAGAAATCGTGGACGAAGAGAAGATATACTTTCCAAGTGCCTTTGGGAATTAAATTAGCTGTTAAATTATATTATATAAGTATATAAGAGGAAGCGTTAATGAGAAATGTGTATAATTTATTTGTAACATTTTTCATGAAAATGCTGTTTTGTATTACAACAAATTAAATGCTGAACATGCAAAATTGCAGTTTCACTTAAAAACATTGAACATTTAAATATTCATACTTATAGACAAAAATAACAGTCTAAACTTTGCGTATTTGACAGGCAACAAAGTTACATATATTTGTATCGTCCTTAGAAGCTGGCGGTGTAATGATAAATCTTGCAAATGTGCCACCAGTGCTATCGGCCAGACGTCCTGGGTTTATAGCCAAACAACCGTTCACCACCTGTAATTCGTTTTTTTTTGTATAACATAAGTTTGCATTAATTTTGTATCGCCATATCTGATATTTACCCTGATGAAACACTTTTGGTCACTCGGCAGTAAAAGTATATTTGGAATTTGTTCGATTTTTGCATATCTGGCTGCTAAGAAGCTGTCGAAGCTTATCTCATCGCATGCTGGTGGGTGAAGAGGATAGAAAGATCCTTGATTGAAAAGATGGTTGACGACGCGTTTTACTTTATCGCCGGCATTGCTGAAATTTAAATACGGCCATTAAGCTGCAAATCGAGTTACATATGTATATTCAAAATTAAATTAATTTAACCTACAATGCCAACTCATTTGAAATTATATGCTGCATGATATCCGTTGATGTCATTCCTATAACAATGCCATTTAAATCGATCATCGATGGGTCTGGTAAGAAATGCACATTTTGATAAGTCTTTCGCAGAGGGATCGACATCGTGGGATATACAGGATCAGCATTAGCGTCCTTATGCGAAGTGACAATTAAAATTGTTGTTGAGGTGCTGTTAAAACAATATGTAATTTAGATTTATGATACATATATGTAAAAAACTAAATATTAAATTAAAATTCATAAAAAACCGAACTCATGTTAAATTATAGAAAACGAATTATAAACATCTGACGATTTTTTGCGTTGTGGTCAAATGTGTCAATATATGGAAAAGATTCCCAAGTTTGCATAAAGAAATGTTCGTTAACTTTTTATTAAAATTAATTCCTTCTATAATATAAACCATTTAAATATAAGCTTCAATTTAGAAAAATATGTTCATTTTCAGCGAAGAATTTTTGACAACATATTTGTATAAAAGATTTATAGCCCATTCAGGATTTTTTTTTTCAAAAATCAACGGGATGATGTTCAAATCAGCACATCATTATACTAAAATTAAATGGCCTATAAAACTGCTTAAAAAAATATTGAAAGGTTGAAATTGTTGTGAAAAATTTGCATATTTTTAGATAAAGGTTGACACTTATATTTAAATGGATTGTATTTTAGAATGCACTATATTTTTATAAAAAAGTAACGAAATAATTTTGTTATGAAAAACCTTTTTTAGTCAGTATATGTATATCGTCGTTTAAAGTACAAATCCGCGTATCGCCATTCTGCAAAAGCGCGTAACTGACATTTGCTGACAAAAATTCGATTTGCTCACACAAGCTCTTGACTCAGTCCTTATGCATTCGTCGTGAAATATACTAGCCAGAGAATTATTTTGAAATATGAGTGTTTTTACTCTCTAGAAAATAACTTATGCAACCTCACATACGCGGTTTTGCATTATCTTGATACCCGGTTTTGCATTTTGTTGAAGCGTGGTTTTGTACTTGAAACGACGATATGTATTTATCTATTAATCGACTTCATACTTAATTCTTGTCTGCGGAGGACAGTACTTCCAATGCAACAGGCATTTCTGACCCGGTTTTGAAAATGTGGCAGTCAGAATATTTCCCAAAAATGTTAAGCAGTAAATTTAAATAGTAAGAATCTGTGATTTAAGGGAGAAGAGTAAATACATGTTTCATGAAAGATAATAGAATTTTCCCTTAAGAAGGAAACCTTAACCCTCTGGAGCATTACTCCGTTGGGGGTTTGACTGCCGCGCATAAATAACAAAGATGGTCCTAATCGGTTAAGGTAACGAAATAACTATTTCCCTGCGGATGAAAAGTCGCAGACCATCAGTATTTTCAAGATGGTGGCGATGCTGAGTTCCGAAAATCCAGCTTAACATTTTGTACGGCTGGCCTTTCAGTATTCTAAAAGAATGAAACACCATGCAAAAGATCGCCAAATTTCGATCCTAATTCGACTGTACTAGATACATACATATCGCCGTTTAAAGTAGAAACTGCGTATCAACAAAATGCAAAAACCGCTTATGTGAGGTTGTAGAAATTATTTTGTAGAGAGTAAAAACACTCATATTTCCAAATTGTTCTCTTTTTTTATAAAGCAATTGCATTTTTGGCTAATATATTTCAGCACGAATGGATAAGAATTAAGCCAAGAGCTTGTGTAAGCCAATTTTTGGCAAAAAAGTCAGTTACGCGCATTTGCAGAACGACGATACGCGGTTTTGTACTTTAAACGACGATATGTGTCTATGTAAATGAAAAAAAAAATAATAAAAAATTTATAGTTTAGAAAATCTGTGTAGACAATCATTACTAACCCAATAGCATCCACAATGCTTGCGATCATTTTTTCAAAGAACGACTCAAACGATTCGGCCAGTGTCACATTTTCACTAATCAGCTTATGCTCCGCATCCAAAAAAGGTCCAGTCAATACCAAAACATCCGGCTTGTGCTCCTTTAAGTATGCAATCAAATCATGCAATGGTTCATATACAAGATCATCATCGTGCGTATATGGGCCGGCAACGACGACAAAACTTAATGGATCTGTAAGTTTCGGTGGTGTAGGTGGACTTAGTTGCCGCTCAGCCAATACTTCGTCCACAATGAAAGTATCGCCTTTAGGATTTTTACCACTCACGATTGCAATTTGTCCGGGGAAAACTGCCACCGACTTGGCTTTAGAGAAATTCAAACGCACAGTTAGGCAACGAGCTTCATCGGTGCCGGCTAACATGGTGGAAGAAGGGTCTAATGGGCCTTCATGATCACAGCAAATGGTGCCAATTGTTTTTGTCAATTCCTATAGCGGTACAAAAAGTATGCATACATATGTATGATTAGGAAATACCGGTATGTACTCGTATGTATATGTATACATACTATAATGGCATAGTGCATGTTGTGTTATAAAGAAATTAAAAGAAAAACAATCTGAGGTCCCAAATGGCAGCAATGAATTTTCATAATTACAACTACATACATACATATACGCCTACTCTCCTTAACTCTACCACCCACCTGTGAATGTTCGTCCACTTGACTCAGCTCGTAATCGTCCGCATTTGTGCCAAACACCTTTTTACACAGCTCCTTGCCGATGTGAAAAATGCGATCAGCTGCGATATCACACCTTTCGCGCAGACAGTCATACATGTAATTGGATTTGGGCTCATCGAGTGTCTTACCGTTGTGGCATAGCAATTGTTTAACTTGGATTTTCTTTTGCTGTGTGGATGCCCATTTTGCGGTACCGATAAGCGTTGGATTGCCAAAAGTGTAAACGATCTTGCCTGAGCCTGCTGTGGCACTGTGGGTGCGTGGTGTGCCGGTGCTGTTGGGAAGAAAATATGTATGTACATATGTGTTCATATCGGTGGGCAATGAATAACAGAAGATAACCGCAGCAATAAGTGTGGGTGTTTGAATTGAACCGAAAAAGGTGATACAATAAAAATTTATTTGATCATACGGGTATGTACATAAATATGTAGAAATGGTGGCGAATAAGGAACGGAAAATTGTTTGTCTTAACGGGAAACATACTTCAATTGCCAGGTATAACATTTAATCCTGCTGTGACTTTTATTTGCAGTAAATGCCGTTACTCTGCGAGAGAATAATAATAAAAAAATTTACTTCAGCGCAACATTTTATGCGGCGATTACGCGGCTGGGAAACTAATGCGAAAATTTGCGAAGTTCAGTTTAAATAGTTGAATAGTAAAAATTGTACTATTTCACATGTAGTAACCCCGACTGAAACAATACAATAATCATAAAGCTACATTCATATGTATGTATACTAAAAACTAAGCTTAATTCGACTTAGTATTACGGTAAGGACAAACGTTTAGCCATACGCGATTTTTTCTTTTCAAGTACACTTTCAATGCAGGTACACAACAAACAGGCACAATTGATGGAGAAAAATATATAAGGTATTCGAGGTGGACATACTTCTTGTGATTTTTGCTTACCTTAACTTATTCCTCTGTTTTATTTGGCACTATGTACAGCCATTTTTCGGACTGGGTCAATAACAGCGAACCACGCCAATTGCTTCCGTCATATGTGAAGTTACGCCAGTTATTTACACCACCAAGGTAGGACCTATTGGCAAGAATTATTCCTTGCTTAACCTTCAGACTTAACAATATTGATAATATTAACGCTGGATCCTTGATAGACGGTCATTTACTATTTCAAAAACTACTTAATTCCGGTAGAGAAGACCTCAAAACTCTACTGGGTACTACGCAAGACACTGTTTTCTTCCTTATCACCTTAGTTCGTATAAGACTTTCTGAAACAAACGTCTGTCCCTGGCGCAGCTTAGATCGCTAAGGTGATGCTACACATCGGAGGCGCTAGGCTACATTAAACGCCTTCGGTCGCGGTGTTTATGGCCCTTAATAAAAATAATAATAATAAATACTTCGAAGATATATAACTTCCAATAGCGACGTTTCTCCCAATATACATACATTTGAGCGATTCATAACGGTGTCGTAAGTGTCGTATTTTTGTATGTCGTAAACTTTAAAAGCTTAAATAAATGTTTAGAGAACTTGGAACGTCAACCAACTATTTTTTAGCACTACAAAAAATCATAATATGACTTTGATGGTACTTTGCGAACTCCCTTAATATATTTCTTATATATTTCGTAAACTTTAAAAGCTTAAATAAATGTTTAGAGAACTTGGAACGTCAACCAACTATTTTTTAGCACTACAAAAAATCATAATATGACTTTGATGGTACTTTGCGAACTCCCTTAATATATTTCTTAGGCGTTTAAAGTTTAAGACAAACAACGATATGACACTTACCGACACCGTTGTGAATACCCCAAGTATCTTTTCTTCGTTTATCGCTATATCGATATTTTTTGCCTCTTTTTTTC